TGCTGAACACTCCCTTCTTATCCAAATGTCCCACAGCTGGGCTTTCTCACCAAGACTAACAGCTCCAGGGATGTCCGTACTAATAAAAAATTATCAAAGAAGAAGCAAGCACATTCACTGTACTTACTATTATGGATCCAAAAGAAGCAAGTTGATTGTCTTGCTGACAAGCAATATCCAAATGTAGGTTACTGTCTTCATTCCAACTATTTTAGTTGGTCTAATAAAAGATACCGGATTTACCCAAAGAACCTTGTCTTTCTATGTCCTTAGATGAACATGGCTACAACGTATAATACCCCTGTCTTTGTTTCAGTATTTTTAGAGGAAAAAATTCCTAGAACTAATGCAGTTGTGTCCTTTTCTTTGTATAACTAGTTTTTCCATAATAGTGTAAGAATGGCTTTATATAAACATAACATGCTATAAGTTTCCAGTGATCTCATCTCCCATTTAGTGATACTTTTTGTGCTACTAGGCCACTTAAGTCAATGGGACTTCTGCTGTTGACATCAGTGAGAGCACAATTACAGTTTGTATTATCATCAATGCTTTCATATTTGTTGCTCTTCTGACTCATTTTCAACCAATTCTCTCTTTAAAGCACTATTATGTTTCTTGCAGGATTTGACCGTCTTGAGAATCTTGAAGAGTACACAGGATTGAAGTGTCTATGGCTGGAGTGCAACGGCTTAACAAAAATTGAGAATCTGGAGGCTCAGGCAGAGTTGCGCTGCTTATACTTGCAACTCAACTTAATTAGTAAGATTGAAAATCTTGAACCACTACAAAAGCTGGATTCTCTCAACATCAGTAACAATTATGTCAAGACCATTGAAAATCTCTGTAAGAATTCCTAGTACAGTGTGTTATTTATGTTATATTCATTTTCCCCAAGCATCCTCTTATCAATTATTATTAGTCAAAGTAGTTTACAGACTTTATTTTATTGGGTTAAAATATTGAGGGGGGGAGGGAGAAGCAAGTTCAGCAGAGCTTCTGGTAGTGGTATCAAATCTGTATGGTTAAAATGTAAACAAAACAGAAGTAATTTTGTAAATATTTTTCACTGATGACTGGAACAATTTATATAGTTACTCCATACATTGGAGTAACTACTTAATCCTTTATTTTCCTTCCTATTTATCACAGTCAAGTTGCAAACAAAAGAAGGTACAACAGAATTCATAACATGTTTAACTGACAACTGTATTTGCTTGAATCTAAAATTAATTTAAGATGACCCACCACATAATTAGATTCTATACATGGAAAATTTATAAATGTGTTACAGTTTTCCATATATGGAATCTATTTATTGGAGTGTCATCTTCAATTCATCTCTCGCACTGCTTCAGGGAGGGCAGGCAGCGGATAGGCAGGTGGTGTAGAGAGATTAATCAGCTTACCCCATGCTTGGGCCTGTCCCCCTTGGGTCCTCCTTCCCCTTGGCCTCTGTTCTGCTGCTTTACCCTGCAGCCTCTGCTTCCCATTTCTGCCTCAGTGTCTGCTCCCCCTTCCCCACAACATCTGCTTCTCCCCTCCACCTCTGCTCTGTCCCAGCAGGCTCTATCCCTGTTCTAGGGTGGGGGACTGAGCACAGCCCCAGCCTGACCCCATACTAGCCAAGCAGGCTGCATGCCACTGCTATGGAGCTGGGCTGGGGCCATGTTCAGTGCCCCAGTATGCATGAAGCAAAGGTAAGTCAGGGAAGGACAAGGTCAGGCAGGGGTGCAGAGGCTGCGTGGAAGGAACGGGAAGTAAGAGACTTCAGGGGGAGATGGTTGGGTGCAGAGGCAGAGGTGTGGGGACACACAGAAGCTATAGCTGTAGCCCCAATCCTGGGTAGGGGCTGGAACCCAAGTCACAGCGACTGCCTCCCCACTCCCAATCCCCTTCCCCCCCCCCCCCCCTTCGCACTTGATTTTAAAATGAGGGGCTTTTCCTGGGGCAGCACCTGGCCTGCTATCAGCTTCCCCAGGGGGACACCATCACCATGGAGGGAAGGATTGGGGCCTCCCCACAGCTCAGGGGCCACTTGGCCCACCGGCAGTTCTCCCCGCACTGGCAGTGGGAGATGTGGGAAGGCTATGCAGAAAAGAAGAAAAAGGATTGGGCCCCTTGCTACTTGTGCCTTTAGCAGGTGTCTGCTGAAGACAGAAGTGGTGAGGGACCCGATCTGTTTTTTCTGCAGAGCCTGCCCACCTCTCCCGCAGCCAGAGGGCAAGCTGACTAATAGCTTCAACACATTGCTGGAAACTAAACTACATAGGAATATAGTTTAGTTTGCAAGGATGCAAATTCATTTAAAACCCCCAACCTCTTGCACGTGTACAGTATGATGCCATTAAGCCACACAAGTGACATTTTCATCACGTGTACATGATAATGGCATCACATATGCAAGTGCCCAGATAAATTTATTATAAGCAAGACACAATGTTCACATTTCCATTAACTTGTGCTTGCTGCAACAAGGTATTAGCACACACCATGTTCTCAGGGCAATATAAAATTCCAAGCTTAGCTCTTGTTCCATCCAGATCAACCCACATTACTAAGCAAAAACACATTAATTAAAACAAACCACATATTACATTACATGGGTATCTTGGATCTGCCATGCACCCTAATTTATGGGTTCCTTTTCTTTCTTCAACTTACAAGTACTGACTCTCTTCCCTGACAATACTATGAGGCCTACAGTGTTTAATCTTTCAGCAAATGTTAAATACTTCAGTGAGGCCTAGGAAAACTACACAATGAAAAATAAATCCTGATATTAGAAGCATGATTTTTCCCAAAAATGTTCTTTGCAGAGGTTTATTTTTTTTTCATTGTATTGTTGTCTGACAGCTTGTCTGAGAGTGTTGCATACTCTTCAGATTGCTCACAATAGGTTACAAACTGTGGAAGATATACAGCATTTACAGGAGTGTCCAAGTGTATGTGTTCTTGACCTTTCCCACAACAAACTAGATGATCCACAAATTATAGATGTTTTGGAGACCATGCCTGATCTGGTAAGCAATAGATATATCTGAAGGTTTTTGTATATGTTCATTTTCATGCGTTTGGGCCAACAGTATCACAGAGCTCAGGACACACTAAAAATACATTTCAACAGAAGAAGGTACTTTATAAATAAAAAGCAGTGGTCAGTTATATTCTGTGAACATTTCTGATCTTTTCCCTGGATGTTTTAAAAAGAATTCCAGACAGAATTTGGATTTTAGGAACAAAAATGATGACTGTATACCAAATAACATTGGAAAAGCTCCAAATTTTACCAAAGCCCTTCATTTGAGGCTCGTGGCTCTTAATTTTGTTTTCTTTGTTCTAGCAAAGTTTGATTTGATATGATGGGAAGAGTTATATAATTTATGTAAGAATTTTAATTACCGATAAAAACCTTGGAAATTAGACCTAGTCAATGTGAAAGTAGTTGAGGTCTGCATTATTAGTAAATGCTGCTGTAGCTAATTAAATATAAAGGGGCTAATCTGCCTGTGATCTAAACCAATTCTTATGAATAGATTTTTCACTAGAATTGACCTCAAGCATTCTTAGTGCTGGGATTTTTACTATTATTTTTCAAACTTCTGGGTTTAAAGATGAAAAAGAAAGTGTCAAACAGGAGTTACATTTTAATGTTCTGCCTTTATTTTCCTTGTTTTTCTAGTGTGTGCTGAATTTGATGGGAAATGAAGTGAGAAAGAAAATTTCTAATTATCGAAAGACCCTTACCGTACGACTGAAACAATTAACATACCTGGATGATAGGCCAGTTTTTCCAAAGGACAGGTGAGAAATAGGAGTCTTATTTACACATCAGCAAATGTCAAGTGCTAATGGTCATACCACCAAATTCAGTTTTTATCCATATTGTTTTCATGCAAGAGGAGGAAGAATCTGACCAGTAGCCAAAGGGAGTGGGTAGGCTTATGCATACTAGGATTTTATAATTAGGAGTTCTCCATAAGAATGTGCAAGTATCCTCTTGTACATAACTGCCTTGCCTCGAAGTCAGTAACCCAACCTCAGCTCATAAGTTGAGTCATGAAGAAAAGAATTTAAGCTACTCTGTAATCTCTGCTTTTGTAATTAGTAGCTTTTAAAAATGTGTGCTCCTTGTCACTTAAAAATGTCTGCATCTACTGTAGTCATTGCTACTTTGTGGACCATTTTATGATTGTTAAAACGGTGATATCTCGGTAACTTTTCTTTTGCTAAAAAAATATACTTTCCCATTCCCATTAGAGCCTGTGCAGAAGCCTGGGCCAAAGGAGGGAATAAAGCTGAGAAAGAAGAAAGGGAAAAATGGGAGAACAGAGAGAGAAGGAAGATCCAAGACAGTATTGATGCTCTGGCAGCAATCAGGCAAAAAGCAGAAGAGAAAAAAAGACAAAGAGAAAGGGAACAAAGTGTTGCACATGAAAAGTGTGAAAACATAGACATAAAGTCATTGGAAGGTTTGTGGTTACAGTTTTGGATAAAGCCCCTGATCGTGTTTGCTTCAAGTCTGATTTGGAGTAATGGCCAGCCTTAACTTGCTTTGATATTACTATTGATCAAGCAATGGTCAATGGTAAAATATCTGTTATTTAGCAAGATGTAAATTCAGAACTCTGTTGAATTCACTGAAGTTATACCAGAGTAAATATCCAGTGAGTGAAAACAGAATTTGATTTATCATTCCTAGCTTGATAGGATCTAATACAACCCTGAACTTTTATTTGCTTTATTCCACTTTAGGAAACTTTCTACCATCAGGTGACAGGATTGCAACTGACAGTACTTCAGGGATATCAAATCCTTCTGAAGAAGCAGAAACTCAACGAAAGATTGAGAAATTTGTAAATGAAAGCATGGAAGTCCACAATGAATTTACATCTGCAATCTCCAACAGTGAATATCAGTCTAATATCTCAAATTGTAAGATTGTAATTAAAGTTCAGGAGGATGAGCGAGAATCAGATTCTCACAAGTGCCCAAATTTTACCACTAAAGGCGAAGGTAATGTACACTATAAATAACCAAACAAAAATTAAAGAAATAGAAAAGATGATCCTAAATTTTATGCTGATACGTGTTCCCCTCTGATCTAGTGGACAAGGATGTAAGGGCCTTGTTACACAGTACACTGTGAGCTGCAAAAATGTTGATCAACTTAGTGCTAGATTGCAGTCATACTTTCAGTTTGAGCAGTGCATCTGGAGACTGGCCACACCTTAATGGAAGAGGAGCTGGATTAGGCAGATCAAAAAAATAATCCTGCTCTGGAGTGGTGTAACTTTGAGCTACATAATAAGTGCTTTAACCCATTTAAAGGTGTTAATGTGCAGATAATCCAAGTATTAAGAGCTTTAGGAACCACCCAAAATTAATGTGTAGCAAACACCTAAAAATGAGGAAACTGACCTACTGTGTTTTCAGTGTGCAGCTGAAAAATTGCTATTTTGGGTTACATATTAAGAACGAATGAAGAAAAGAAATATAATGGAGAGAACTGATACTTTGGTATCCTCATACCTGAAATAGTTACATTGATCTACATTTCATTTTTCATGAGTTCAGAAGATGCAGTGTTTCAAAATGCAAAAGATAACTTGCAAATTAAAAGGAGTTCACTGGCAGTGTGGTAAAACAGAAAGGTAAGATACAGATGGAGCTCAGTACAACAATTTGGAGATACCAAACTAAAAGATTCAAACTGGGTTTGATAACATTTCTTATGTACATCAGGTCTGATTCTGCAAATTATACTTGAATATTATTTATGCAGTTAAGTGAGACTCTGTTCCTCTGTAAGCATTGCTTCATATGACTATGGTTTGCATAATTCAGCCTTTAAATATAATCCTTTGTAAAATAATAATAAAACACGCATTCTTGTTTAAACATGTATAATTCTACATGCGGTGTATACAGATGAAATATGTATAAATCTTAGTGAGATTTGCTGTCTAGCCAAGTCTGAGGCCATGAGACCTGTAAATTAGGTAGTCCTTTCCACCTATGTTGCCCAGTCCAGCCACAAAACATGAGTGAGGTTTAGTATTGTTGCTCATGCTATTTTATCCATTTACTGGTGGTTAAGAATGCACACGAGCACATCAGATACAATTTCCTGCTCTGCAAAAGGACTCGGAACTGCATATCACCCAGGAGAGTGCCCTAATCACCAAACCAGAGGTTATTGTGGAATGGGGTCACACTCAAACTTCTTGTTGAAGTTGTTCCTTTTTGCATGGTATAATCCAAGACTATGCTGTAGGCAACAGCAAATATAAATTTATATAGTCTAGCAGTGATGCTCAACTCATCCAGCCCCATGGGACAGATAAGTGGTGTGGAATCAGTCTGGCCCAGCCCCGCACAAGATTTGGCCACAAACTGAGCCCATGCACTGGTACAATCTAGCACACAGAACCATGTCATCCAGCACAGGGACTGCCTAACAGGTCCAAAAGTTTGGCAGCGGATGAACAGTTAGTGTTAAGTGCCACAGCTGTAGAAGCCATGGCATTTAATGCTGCCACCACTGCATTAGTCATTTTGTGCATTTAGACTTCTATGAGTAAATAAAAATAACCTATATATGTGTGTATATTTTATTCTAGAAATACTTCCAGGGAAGATGGCTACTGAAAGTGCCCTAGTAACTGAACTGAATGAATCTGCAGATGTAGAACAAATTAAACTGGAAGTTCCAGAGAAGTTTTACATTGATGTATGTATTAAGGCTGGTGTATGTAAATTAGTAATTTGTTTCAGATTTTGGGAGTTGCACATCCAGATACCATCTGTTCACAAAAAATCACTCCTTTTATGCCCTGGCTAAACAGCTGTGTGTGGCCCACCCCTGTGGAAACTTTCCCTCCCCTTTATATAGTTTACAGGCAGTTCATTCCTCCGGTGCTATCTGCCATTAAAAGAGATGTCCTGAAATTCTCAGATTAAAGAATATTTGGCCTTCCAAATCTTGTCTTCTCTGTTGCACACAGTAATTCTATAATTAGACTTCAAGAGCTCCAAATCTGATTCCAGTTTTAAGGAAATAATATTTTTCACTCAGAAACAAAGAAGATCCACTAAATTGCAATATAAAAGATGCTCATCAGGAAACAATGTAGGATCATAGGAAAGTAGGGCTGGAAGGGACTTTATAAGGTCATCTAGACCAGTCCCATGCTCAGGGCAGAATTGTCCCTATCAAAAGATGATCCAGGCAGTAGCCAGAATCCAGAACTTGTGTATAATGAAAAATTCTTCACAAAAAATTCATAAGAAAGAAATAGCCACCCAGTCATTTCATGTAAATGTCTGGGATCAGGTTTTTTTTTCAAAACTTAATTATTCAGGATACTTAATAATTAAAACTTGAACCATTATAAAACTCACAATTACCACTTCTAATACACTCCATTATTTAAGGCCCTGATACTTCAAATAATTATTCATTTGTTTACCTTTAAAGACATGGGTAATACCGTTTAAAACAATCTCTCTAGCTATAATTAAAGATCTAAACCAAGCACAAAAGGGGATAAATATTTCAGATACCTTAACTTGGTGGATTCAGGTTCTGCAGCACCGGTAAAGTCAAACTTCTTTTCTCAAGGTACTATATGTTCTTTGTTTCCTTATACAAGTCACTGTTTTTGGCATTATGATTCTTTTTAGCATCATTATAGTACCTTTACATTATCTTTTAGTTTTGCTGGGATAATTTCCAGTTTATTCTTTAAAGACCTAACCCTGCAAACACTGACTGCCTTTTTGGAGGGCTTACTAACACATTCTTCCATTGACTATTTATAAATTTTGTGCTAGCTCTGAGTATTTGTCAAAACAGATAGCTTAGAAAGTATCAAGTTTGGTGTGTACATTTTGAAGACATTCAAAAACTAGCTTTAAAGACATCTGAGTATTGTATTGACCAACAGTGTGACAATCACATGGAGTATGTAAGATTATTTTTATGGGGCTACCTTGCCCCAGATCAAGTCCTTTGGCACTTATTCTAGTGTATTGTTTAAAAAGTTTTCTTCACTATTTTTCTCATGAATTTGAGTTTGCACAAGTGTTGTTTTGATTCAGAAGAGATGCATTAAAATTTAGCCATACAGAAATAAAAACACACAACCCAGATAAATTACAACATTAATTTACTTATTAGTGCCCTGTAGTACTCCATTCTGCAGCTGTTCCCCAAACTGTGCACAGTAATGGAAAAAGATTCTGGTAGCGATAGCTAATACTCACATTACAGCAGTTCCCATAGCCACCTTTGTCAGAACCATTTTTGGGAAGCAGCAGAGAGACCCGGGGAAAGAAATCCTGGGAGTAGTCTGAGATCCAGATCTCCTCTGAGAATTTTTAAAGTTGGATAGAGTAGTGACTAAATTAGGAAGAGCGAAGGGGATGTGTAAGCACAGGTTGTAGCAGCACTACACATTATGGCATTTTACCCTGCAGCAATTGTGACAGCTTCGTCAAGCCCCAACAAGTCAAAAGAACATGGAAATGTTTAGAAGTTTATCTCTCTGCGTGTTTGCCCTGGGTGTGTTCCAGTGTGAGTTCTGGGGTCTCACACATGCATACTTTTAAGTGGCAATGCCCAGTTGATACACACATGGACCCCAACCAGCCTCAATTCACTATGCTATAATACAAAAGGTTCAGGACCAACTTCCAGTCTCATTCCCTCTCAGTGCCCTTGATGTGAAATGGAATATCAGTGTCTTAACTTCAGCGTAACTACTTAGATTTTCATTTTACTTCTATATAGTTTCTGGTGTTTTAGATGTTAATATATATTTGAGCTTCTTTGGGAAGAACAAGGAATTTCCTCTTCCAATTTATTTCTACTACCTTTCCCTGTTTTTATTTTTCACTTAATAGCAAAAAGGTTTTTATGATTAACTCACCAGGTTAAGAACTATCTGTGCCTTTTCATTTAAACAACAACCATTATATTTGGCTTTATTGCATAGAGCAGTGGTTCTCAAACTTTTTTTTTCGTGGACCACTTGAAAATTGCTGAGGATCTTGGTGGACCACTTAAACTTTTTTTTGTTCTACAAATCAAAGCACACAATTCATATTTTATTATCAGTAGTCTTACCTTACAAGTACAGATATTCTCAATTGTTCCACAACCTTTCTGCGGACCACCTGAATGGAGCTCGCGGACTAGCAGTGGTCTGAGGACCAGAGTTTGAGACCCTCTGGCTTAGAAGAGCCTCACATCTCTCTGCATGTGCACCAAAAATAGAACTGCACTACCTGTATTCTCTTTCAATATATTCTTCTCAGCTTAGTCCAAGGTACATTTCACATTTTATTGGCCTGAAAGTTGTTCAGGTGGAAAGAGGAAATGACCATCTTAGCTGTATTACATTTCAAACACCAAGTTCAGAAATAGGTCCTCTAGGGCGTGCAGATCACTCGAGGACTTTTTCTGTTGTCTTGAAAGTATTACTGTCATGGCAGGGTCCCACAGGAGGGCCGTGATCTCCTCAAGGCCCCCTTTCTGTGCCAAGTTGGCCCAAGGCCCCCCTAAAGTTCTCCCCCGCCACATCTTTGATAACACCATATATTTGGGAGGCTGCCTTTTACACCCTCTCAGTCATGTCTTGCTGGTTACTTGGACCTCGTGGTTTTCCGGACTCTTCATGGGTCCTGCTCTACAATGGGTACTTCAGGGGCACCCTAGCCTTAGGGGCTGTGCGTAGCTCCAGCCACCCCTTTACCACGCCCCAAGCCTCGCAGCTGGAATAGACGTTGTTCAGTCTGGGTCTACACCCTCCCTCTGGCACATGGGCTCTCCATGGCCCTCTCTCTCTCTGTGCCCTCTCTCTGGCACGTGGGCTCTCTGCAGCCCTGTCTCTCTCTGCGCCCTCTCTCAGGGGCCTTCTCAAGCGCTGCCGCCCTCTCTCAGGGGCTCACCATGCCTGCACTAGGGCTTCTCAGCAATGCCCCCTTCTCTGGGGCCTCTCAGCTACCCCTCTCTGGGGCTAGGGTCAGTACACCCCGAATGCTGCGCCCTTGCTGGCGCTGGGGTTCCCACACTGCTGTGGCTCCCCTATGAGGCCTCCTCCAACCCCTAGTAGCCTCACCCAAACCACCGGTGACAAACAGCAAACAAAACACAAACCCTTCAGCTATAACTTAAACAGAAGCCACTTGGCCATAATAACATTCAAGCCTACATGGGAATTCTTCATTTCACAGCTGTCAGATGCTGCTCCTTCATCAGGCCTCTCCTCTCTTCTAAGACAGAGAGCTCCTTAGCTGCTGGTAGGAAACTACCAGCCTGGCCTCAGCCCCTGGGCTTTATAAGGGCCAGGCCCTGCCCCTTACAGTCAGCTGACCGCTGGCAGGTGTGATTGCTTGTTAGCTCGGTTGCTCTGGCAACCAACAGCTGGGCTCCTTATTCATTCACTGCTAGGGTCCCTTCCCTAGCAGTTTTTCCTTCTTAGGAGCAGGGCACCTAAGTGCTCTGCTACAATTACCTTTTGTGGCTAATGCAACATCATTGGTGTAAATAAATTTATACAATGCTGTCTGCAGGATGTTGCTGGTGTATAGGTTTTGTGGAACTAAACACGTGAAAAACATCCACAGTACCTTGGAGTCACTCTAGATCGAACTCTTAGTTACTGCCAGCACCTCGATATTGTGGCAAATAGGCAGTGACGAGGGTAAACATGATAGAGGAGCTTGCTGAAACAACCTGGGGAATCGATGCTTCTACCCTTCATAGATTGACCCAGGCCCTGGTACTCTCTACAGCTGAATACTGCACTCCCATCTGGTGCCAAAGCCCTTACACCAACGCATAAGTGAATGCTGCCATGCAAGTAGTAAGTGGTGCTTTAAAATCCATACTGATTCTGTGGCTGCTGATTTTATGGACTATCACTCCCTCCACAGTGAGAAGGGATTAGGCTGAGAGTAAGAAAAGATCATGGCTGATCCTGAACTCCTGTTGTATGAAGATATCACCCACTCACCAAACTGTAAGCTAAGTCAAGGAAACCTTTCTGATTACATGCGTTCCAACTTTTATCAAACAGTCTGGATGCTGAGAGCTGCTGGTGCTAAATATGGTCTGCAGCAACAGCATGCAACAAAAATTTGGCCATATAGCTGACGATTGAGCTTCTGGGTTTCTGCCTGCAATGTAAATATTGGACTGTGCAGAACCACATTTGCATGGGACATGGAAAGTGTGCCTATTTAGTGAACAAATGGGGCATTAAAACTTACCAAACTGCATATGCAGTGAGGTGCAGTCAGTGAGCCACACTGCAGACTCCTGCCCTGATTATGGAGGGATTAAAGCAATTCACTTAGCTGGCCCAGATGTCATTAACTGATTATCAAACCTCAACATACAACTTTAATTAACCTGCACCTTCTCTGCTGTTGCTTGCCCTAGCCATATGAAAGAAGTTCAAGGTAGGGTTTTGGCTGGGACACCTGGGATCTAGTGTTGAAACACCATCTTAAAGCATATCACTCTACTGACCCTGGAAAGGTTTAAGCTCTCTTCAATTATTGAGCAGCAGGTGCACGTTGCAACAGTGACAGTCAGAGGAGGAAGGTGTGCCTGAACAAAAAGTTTCACCACCTGTGATCCTCACCAGATGAAGAAGTGACACTGGCCTCAGCCTCATTTTCTAATGGCTTTAGGACCCTACAGTGACAGATGAAGAAGATAACAGAGGCTCAGCATATTTGTCTGGAAGAGGTACCTAAAACCCCTAACAAATTATTAGACCTTCTTGAGACTGCTAACACTCACCAAAACTGACATACTGCCTTGGTAGATTTTAAAGCACCTTGCCTGTGGAAAGGACCATTCCAACCCCTACATCAGAAGTACAGAGAAGAAATAGAATGTTCCACCTGGAAGGATGGAATATTGTATTCACAGCTTTCTTCCAATTCTCTTGGGGTCAGAGTAGCCAAAAAAAAAAACAAAACCTTTTGAATATGTGTAGCAGCTCTCTAGCTCTTTGCTATGTTTCCAGGTTCTGTTAAATGTGTTTTTATTATAGAGAGCTATTTAACAGTTCACTGATAATTTGCCTCAAGAGACTTTGTTATGCAAAATCTACTTTGATCCAGCTGATAGTTCTTTGCAGTATATAGCAACTGCCATGCTAATGACATGTTTTTCTTGATCAAGGATCTCTTTCATTCCAAGCAAGCGCGAGTGAGGGTGGAAGATTTGCCTTTAGGGACAGCAGTCTTTTCAGTAAAAAGACAATCAATTCGGTCCATATATCAGAACTCTCTCCTGGGCTACACTTTGATCTTATTGAATCTATTCTTCTGCAACAAATGACAGGACAATTCCCCCAATCCTTTATCATGAGCATTCTTACAAGCCACCACTGCTATGTGAATGGGTGCAAAAGAGAAGATTCTAATCTGCCTTTCTCATATGATAGCCTTTGCATGACTATCTTTTGCTAAACATCAGTGGGCACATCTACACATTAGATGCGCCCACATGAGTGGGCGCATCTAATCCCAAGTACTTCATTAACATGTGCACCTGGGACCACAGCACACTGAGCCAAGTCAGAGGAGCCTTGGCTGGCAAGGGTCCCAGGGGTCAGCGTGCCAGCCTGGGGCTGCTTTGACCTGGCTGAACGTGTTACACTGGAGCTGGCTGGGACACAAGGGTGCTTCAGCCTGGGGCTAGCTAGCAGCAGCCCCCACACTGAAGCACCCTCATGCCCCAGCCAGCCCAATCAGCCTCTACACATGCAGTGCAGCGGAGTAAAAAACTCCACAGCAAGGTACTACAGTACTTGTATTTAGAAGTACTACTCTGCTGTGGAGTTAATTAGTTTCTTACGGCCTAATAGGGCTACACGTGTAGATGCCGAGACATTTACTGTGGAACTAATTAGTCTGCTCCATAGTAACATTTGTGTAGATGCACCCAGTGAGACTTGCACACCAATCAGTCTTTCAGATCTAGCTCACTCATTCCTATTTTTCAGCACCTTATTGAGGAAGCCTTTAATTGTTATTGACAGCATACATAAAAGTGCATTTGGGTTGTCACTGAAAAATATTTCTGCTGATTTAACAGTCCAGTTTTGTACACTAATTGGTCCAAACCAACTTTCCCTGTTTCTTTCAGGGGCCATCTCATAGGAAGTTTCTTTTAGAAGGAATGCAGTTCTGATTCCAATTAGGTACAGAATATCCTATACCTCCCTAACAGAGAATGAAAGATTTTAATTTCAGATACTTCTTTTTCCAAAAAAAGGCTATCCTTTCTTTTGCAACTTTCAAACTATCCTTTCTTTTAAAACTTTGTGGTCTGTTAGCCATTCCTAGTCATGTGTCTCTTCTATTTCATAGCCCTGAAGTCTGTTTTCAGCTGTAGCTAAAAACCATAACTCAGGTGTGGTAAATATTAACTCAGGTGTAGAAATGACTGACAGTGAAATATTGGATACACTGTAAAAGACATTCAAGAAGACTGGATTTTGTTTTATGAATCTGAATAAGAGATTATATAGGATGGAATATGCAGTTCCTTGATGGATTTTGTTTTTGTGGGCATCAGTCGGTCTTGCGAGACAATAAAATAACACCACATGAGACATCGGCCCAATGAAAGTAGTCCTTGTTTGAAAATAAAGTGAAGCTGGGGTGACGTCTCCAGGGCGCAAAAGCTTAGTCAGATCTAAATATTTGGCCTCTGTTTGCTTCTTGTTAAAAACTGGAACTTTGAAAATCACAGATAACTCATATTCTTCTTTTACTGTAGGCTTTAGCATTAACCTCCACACGCATTTACTTCCATTTAGATATCAGTTAGGTTTAAGTGCTGCATGGGATACAGTGCAGAAACTTCTCAGAATCAGTGCCTTAGCCCAATAGATCTTCAGCATCGTAACTATCATGCAGGTTACTTTATTTGTGGATTACTGAGTAAGTAGAGCACAGCCTCCATTTGCCCCTTTTTATAGTCTTGCTGTCCCAGACTTTTTCTCTCTTTTTTGCTCACTGGCACATTGTACATTGTACTGTAATAGAGAGCAGTTACCCTTCTGTTTAACATTACTGCAGTCCTGAATTTGGAAGCATATATGCTTTTCTTTATCAAGCATGCATGTGATAAGACTTCTATTTTGGGGGGTGATGACTGCAGTGACTTCTAGTAAGGGTCTGCCAACATTAAATATGTAGTTTAGATCTCAAGTTTCAAATGGGCTAGAAGTCACCTTTTCCTTTAATCAGCTATTTGTGATTTTCTTCAGGAACTGCCTGATTTAGAAGATGTAGGTGCTAGTGAATTCTCTCAAGAAGAGGAAATCTCAACCAGAAAGGTGAGCTTCTTGCTAATTCTCATCAATTTAGTATTTTCCTTCTGACATGCATTAATTAATCCATTAATTAATAAATAAAGTACAAGTTGTACTTTTCTGGTTTGAGAGAATAGTTAGGTTTTGATTTTATATAGTAAAATATACAAGCATGTTCTGTAACCATTCAAAAGTAAAATGAGTCTCATTGTTTTAACTTGAATTTCCACATTATCTCTGTTAAAAACACATTTTATATATGTTCTAGTGTGTATAAAATGCTTAAGCTCCCACTGAAACAGATACAGAAACCCAGGTGTTCTCTCCCTAGCCCACATGAGTGGCCTAACCACCAAAACCGTAGAGTTATTCTTCTGCTCTATGAAGCTTTAAGTATCTTATATAAAAGAGAAGAGTATCAACAAGAGAGAAACTCACCTCAGAAAACTAAGACACTTTTACACGTGCTGTGGGAGGGGGAGCAGCATATTAATTAGAGTGGCTCCAAGAGCTGCTCTAATTAAAGCACCACCACATCCTGTATCAGCATCCCCACGCTTAAAAACAGCAGCAGGGGTACTTGAAATAAAACTCATTTGACAGACTTTAGTTCAAGTGCCCCTGCTGCCATTTTTAAGCACGAGGACACTGATACATGAGACACAGGAGGCTGCTGGAGTAATTGCCAGGCTCCAGCAGATTCAGTTAATTGAGTCTTCTCTGATGCACTGGAATTCTAGCACGTCGGAGCAGCCTTCACCCATAAAGTCCAGTACTTAGTATACTCTTCTGAAGTGTGGAAGACTCATGTTTATATCTCTTTTCTGAATCAGGTAGAAAGGGCATTTGAACCTAGGTCTCCCACATCCTAGTTTGGTGTCCTAAATTCTGGGACAGTGTGCTGATGGTACCTCCTCCTGTATTTTTTTAAAAGTGGGCTTTTTCTTTACAAAATGCACAAAATTACGCAAATGAAGCTATTTCATTCAACTTAAAATGATTTTTGATTCCCTAAAAATTTTAGTTTCAGGTTAAACTAAAACATTGTTTGTTTTTTTCAATTTATTTTCTAAACCTGTCAATTAATTTGCGCAAGCTACTCCTAACTTTGAGGTGTTTAGAGTTTGTTGTTACTACTATTTTGTTCACTTTTAATAAGATCATTACCAGTGAAATCTGAACTGTTTAGTTTATAACAGACTAATTCAAGACTGAGGCAGTGCAACTAATTAGTGAAAAATTCAGCTCATATCGATCAAGTAATCCTAGTATTTTTGCCCTCTAGAAAAGTGAAACTGTAGAACTGAGACTATGTAGTTAGCAGATAACCCATGAACAATGGGGAGCATGAAATACCTGAAGAGGGGTTATAAAGAGAATGGCAGTAGACTATTTTCTGTGACTTCAAGGGATAGGACAAGTGGTAACAATCATAAAACAGACAACCAATTTGATTCACATGAGAGTGTTTTGTGCTGCATCAAATCCAGACTTTACAGGCAGCTAAGCTCAATGTCCCACGTTAAGTACCTGTGAATTATCCAGATTGATACTTTGCCTCAGAACAATTGTATCTAATTCAGTTTACTTGCCATGTAAGCCTAGTATGTAAATGGATGGGCCCAGTGAGTCATAATCAAGGCTGCATCAAACTGGTTGTCTATTTATAACCTTTAAGTTCAAAGAGGGAAATTTAGATTGGCTATTAGAAAGAACTTTCTCACTACAAGAATCATGAAACACTAAAATAGATTACCTAGAGAAGTTAGGAAATCCCCATTGTTGTACATTTTTAAGAGCAAGTTAAGAGATATGCCTGTCTGGGATGGTTTAAACATGGCTGTTCCTGCCTTGAAGAGTAAGGGGTTGTGCTAGATGACCTCCTGCCCTACTTTTCTGTGATTCTATCATTTTAAGTGAGAATAGTCACATGGATCTGAGAGCAGAAGTTTGCCTTTACGTTGTAATATACATTTTTAGTAGCTGCTCCTTTACAAAAAGCTTCTTTTCAGTTGTCTTTTTCTATCTTTATAGCAAACATATCATCCAAAGATTGAAATAATTTCTGAAGTAACTAATGATGAGGAGTCTTTATCAGAGGAATATGGTAAAACCACATTTGAGAATTTAGTAACAGAAGAGATCCCAACAGCCATCTTTTCAAATATATACAAAGTACCTGAAGACAGTCAAAAGAAAACCTTAAGTCCCCTTGTGGAAGCCTTATTAGCAGAGCCTTTGAATACAGAGACAAACTTGGAGACCAAAAATAACCAAGCCAGACCTCCAAAACCATTGGTACTAGAGATTATTCCTGAAAATGAGTGTGATATGCCAGTGTCATCAGCCTGCAATAAAGTGGATAATGGTAATGATCCAGTCCCATGGGAAGAGGTCAGTGGGGACAATCACATTGCACCCTTTTGTTCTGGTAAGATTATTTTAACAGGATGTGAAAGAAAAGGAAAAAAATCAATCACATAAACCATGTGAAATAGCAAATGGTGCCTCTATCTTCAATGAAGGGTTTTGTTCATCCTTGTCAATAAAGGTTAATGGGGATCACATCAGTCCCCTGGCTCTACCTTTCAATTTTTACTCTTCTGGAAGAGTATTAATGGAAAAGGGCATTATTTTGCCCTTTTCCATGCAAATATTTTTGATAGGTTTCATTTGGGGGTTAAGAGTCTTTTTTTCCAGTAATAAATGCACAAATCACAATTTCAAATATCTTTGTGCTTTAACAGGGACTAGTGTTGACGACAAAACTGATCAGTGCCTAGCTGAGAATGGAACGATTGCTCATAAACCACAAGACGGCAACAACCAGATTGAATATGGATTAGATTAGCAATGGATAAAATGGACTGAATTTGGAATAAGTCACTGAGGCTGATTTATGAAACTTCCAAAATACCCAGTTTAGCAATTATTCAGTTAATCAAACACCAGAGACAACACTTTTGGTAACCTTATTCAGAACTACTGCCTTAATAAAAGGCCTATTGCCCCATTACCCACTCTCAGCCAGCAAAACAGCTTAGCCCTCAGAAACACTATGCTAAAAGGCAGTACTGTTGTGAACATCAGAGAAATTTGTGCCAAATATGTTACTGTGCAGAAAGGAAGTGCTAATATCTAGCAAATCCACAGATGAAAAGTGCCTTATGGGCTGATTTTCAAGATACTGAGCTCCCTCAAGAGTTAGTAACAATTATGAGTGCTCAGTACCTTTGAAAACCAGGTACCTGATATTTAAAATTTGAATGCAGGCTTTTTTTTCAGAGTTCTCTTTATTTCTCACATTTTGACAAAAAACCCCAAAACATATTTCTATCCTAGAATGCTGTTTATTTACTTAGTTTTAACCCAGAGCTCATTGTTGTTTCTTGTTTGGTTAAATAAAGATTCTGTTAGGAATATGGTGTATTGTTAACTTGTATTACAGTCCCACGTGTATATTTTAGCAGATATGTGTCAGATAAATGCTCAGTGAAACCCAAGCTAACCGACTTAGTAAGATACAAATATTCATACACAAGTGCATATGCAAATTATGGACACACATTTTTGTACATTCAGCTAGGTCCACTTATTTCTAAACTACTCCAAGACTATAATGATGCTGAGTCATCTGCAGTTCCAGTATAAATTAATATCCACCCCCGCATCACACAGGAATAGACCCCAACCCCATGAGGTAATAGGTGTTTTAGTTCAATACAAGAAAATGAACACAGGTTAATATATTACTTCTTTTAGAAGGACCTGCGATGCTCACAGATCTGTTGTAAGTAGATTTTCCCTAACATATACAAGTTCTTAGATCAATGCAATAATCCACTTTGCAAATAACAGGCCAGGCTGTACCAATGAACCTAAAGTCTCTGTTATAACATTGGAGGCCAGAATCTGTTCTCTTCATCAATGCCAAAAATGAAGTAAGGATTAACTTGTGACAGTTGTACTCTGGACCTTCTTCATTTTGTCCTGACAAGCACGGGACAATATTCCAGGGTTTTATGCAGGGAGCAGCTGTGCTGCTTTTTGCCATAATGAAAGTTGAGTTTGGAGACAGTACTAGTACATACACATCCTCATGGATCCAGGTGAGAGGGATCCAGATAGGAGAGTGAAAAGATCACATCTCTAGTTACAATAGCTATTCACCCCTGGTGGGAACGCAGAAGAGGGGTGTGCTGGGATTTAAAAAAAAAAAACTTGTCTAAAAAGAGTAGATAAGGCCTGACCAAAGTGTAACAGAAAGCTTGGGATTCCCTAGGTACTTTAAGGGAGAAAGGGCCCAGGGAGAGATCTAGGTGGAGAGGAAGCTACAGAAGAGCTGGCCCAGGGGAACAGGAACTATGAGTGCTCACTCAGAGCTACCACAATAGGACTATACCTGCACGAACCTACTACAGTGCTAGTTGCTCCATAGTAGGACAGCAGATGGGCTGCCCTGGAGACCAGGCAGTGAATCTAAACAGTGGGCACCTGCGGCCAACCCTGTGAAGTCACCTGAACAGAAAGGGGCGGGGCCTGAGAAGAATATAAGCCAGGGCCAAAGCCAAGGCAGGCAGGCAGGCCAGTCCTGCAAGCTGTGAGGGAAGGGAAGGCGTGTCTGGCTAGGAAAGTGGCAAGAGAGTGCCTGATGGACTTCTGAGCTGCCTTGGGACTACCAGTGAGATGCTGAGAGCTCACGGAGATATAACCCAGAGCTGGGGGTTATGTTGGTACCTAGTGAGGTTAGGCTAACAAACCAGGTGTTTGTTAGCCTAACCTGAGGTGAGGGAAGCTTTTGCCTTTTGTAACCCAGGCAGTACTCCAAGAGGTACCCCCTCTCCAATTGAAGGGATCAAAACAGGTGCACAAGTGCTGTGGGAGGTGTAGGGACTTTCCTCCCGCTATACAGCAGAGCCAGACCATCAGTGGGGACTTAACCATATACCTTTTAATGAGAGAACAATAGTGGGAACATAACCAGTATAAACCAGGGGGTATAGGGGAAACTACAATGCTCCGAGGCGGCAGGATTCAACAAAGGTTAGACACAATCATAGACATGTTCATCCAGTTGACAAAAGACAGGGTTAACCAAAATGTAAAACACAAACAGCAGAACAAACAATACTGGTTAGTGAAATATAAAAAGGCACAAAATACAAAATGACAAGGAATATAGGGCCTAGGTACCTGGAGGGGGAGAAAGGGGGAAAACACAGTGGCCCCTTTCTACTGCAAGAAGAATTTCTCCCTGTTAGCTCACTCATCCCAAGTCACCCCACCTGAGACTTGAACTCAGACCTCTTACATGGTTAGTAGAAGCTCTACCACATAGCTACCAACGCTGGTACTACCCTAAGCTGCTAGGGGTCTTGACCTTCCAGGAGCCCTGGCCTCACATCAAGCTTCCTGGCCTCTTATTGGAGGAGCTGGAAGCAGGGCTGGGAACCTCTCAGGTCGCTGCTCAGATCCTTGCTGGAGCTGGGGAGCATCTCCTGCTGGCTGCAGCCTCTCATAGGTGATCCTGGATCCCAGCAGGGAGCCTCTCCTGCCGGCCGCAAGCCGCACTGCTGATGGTCCAACTGCTGCCTGCAGGTCCCACTCCTTCAGGCTCTTCTGGGGCAACTGGTCCCACCCTACTGGCTCAGCTCTTTGAATCTCCTTCCTTGTGGTCCCTCACTGGTCTCCCCTGAGTCAGCCGTGCTGCCCCTTTTATCTCCCTCCAGGTGACCCAAGGGGCAAATCAGGGGACACAGAGGGTGAGTCTCTGGGGCCTGATTGGTGAGGAAAGGGAATCCCAAGTCCTCCAATCACCTTTTGCCCTTTCAAAACCCCTGGGCTAAGTCACTGCCAGCTAGCCTGTCACACTTGTAAAGTGGCAGCATGCTGTTTTCAATTTTGTTGATGTTGGTGATCCCAGTAGGGAGAGTCAGGGTTTGAACTACAGGGGAGCTTGGAGCTGGACTCCCCCATAAGAGATGAGAGATCCCCCTTAAGAGCCCTCCCTGGCCTACCCCATGTCTCAGGTGGTGGCAGCAGCTCCTTCTGGCTGGAGTTTGTGTTCTAGCCAGGGGGTTTATCTTTTGGTTACAGTTTCAACAAGGTTTGGGTTGGGACTGTGAGGGATGGCTTTTAGGCATCCCATTAGTGCCCCAGGGGCACATGATCACCTTGAGCCTTGCTGGGGGGCAGGCTTAAGGCAGAGCAAGCTCAGAGCCTAGAGCAGGGTGGAGCATGGGGCTCAAGAGCCCAGAGTAGAGCATGAGGCCAGAGTTTCCAGTGTCTGAGATGGGCAGAGACAGGACCAAGGGCTTAGCACCCAGGAGGGCCTAAGCTGGAGCCCAATAGGACAAGGCTGGAGCTAAAGCCTGGAAACTGGGTCTAACAGTGGATCATGAGCTAAATGGGCCAGTTACAGAAAGGGGTGGAAGCCAAGTGAACTAAGACCCCTATAAGGGACTGATCGGATTGTCACAGCGAGGCATGGGACATGGTATAGGGCTGGACAGAGCCATGTAATTAGCCTTAAGGTAGGGGTGGGCAAAATATGGCCCGCAAGCTGGATCCGGCCCACAGGTAGGCACCAACCAAGTAATTGTATCCAGCCCTACCCGCAGCTGACCCTGCTGTGCTCTGCCTGGAGCTGAGTCCTGCCTGAGGCAGAGCGTGCTGTGCTCCCAGCCTCCCCCGCCAGCAAGCACAGCTTCTGAGCAGGGCTCCTGCTGCTGCCACTGCCCAGGGAACTGCTGGGCTTCCCCAGCCTCCACTAACTCAGGAAAGGGCAGGAAAGCAGTTGCCACCACCAGCAGCAACAGAAGCCCCTGTGAGAGAGGAGGGGGGACAGGAAGCTGAGCCTGGCATCACCAGTCCCTTAATCTTTGTCCCACACCTGCCCGGCAGGGCTTCAGCCAAGTTTGCACTGGCTCCTGCTGCAAAGGTCAGGGGTTAGGGGACAGGACTTCCAGTCACAAGATGGTGACCAGGGGGTGGGGCACCTGCTAAGAGGCAGAAATACCCTTGCGGCCCTTAACGCTTCACCAACACTCGTTAAGTGGCCATCCACCTGAAATAATTGCTCGCCCCTGCCTTGGGCTTATGGGTGCCTTGGACACAGATGGGCTGAAAATGCTTACTCAGCCTAAAGGCAGGATAGAAGCCACTGGTGTTCAGGAGGGATCTGCTGGCTATTGGACACAGTAAGGCTCACTCTAAGACTCACAAGGCAGCCTCACCTTCAATCCAATAAGTACATCAAGATGTGGTAGACAAAAAAGTGGAAAGGGAACCCTAGATGCAGAGCTGGGTACAGGTTATGGGGCCACCAGGGGCTGTCACAACCACCCCTGGGACACAACTTGGTAACTTAGATCAAGTCACTGTGACATTTTGTTGGTACAGGCTATTGTCTCCATCCAACACCATAGCATTATGACCCTACCTAATAATGTTAATAATAACATAATAGTGTTAATGGTCAAGGCATTCTTTTGTCTGTATTGCTCTGTCCAGTTCATGTATGCAGGTGCTGCAGCTACATAGGCGCAAAAGCAAATGGGAAAACTCTTGAGAGGTTGTAGAAGCTTTGCCAGAGTGTGCTCAGGAGCATCCTGGGCAGAATGTGCTGCTACTCAAGTATGAAAATGTGCTTAGTCACACTGACGCAATCAAGGAGTATACCATGAAAACAACCAGTTACCCAGAGCCAATGTGGGTGGAATTTAACACAATCTGACCCATTATATTCTATAGACACATTGTTACATAACACAGCAGATTATTTAGGTTGCCCCCTATGCGGTGAGATGCCTGGACAATAGAACTGATTCCTTTTCTGTGCAAACAGATCAAGCTGCCTGTACGCGGGGGATACCTCACCTCTCTATAGTATTGCCATGTTCAGCATATGAATTGTGCATTATAATATATGTGAGTGGCTATTATTTTGTTCACAAGGAAAGATGCAGTGCTATAAACAGAAGATAAGAGATATGAGGCAGTCCCTGAGGGTGGGTAGTGTTGTGAATGTGGAAACTGAGGGATTGACTCTTGGGACCAGAAAAAGACAAATATTCTAGGTTGAAGAAGCTCCCCATCAATGGAGAAGGATTTATTGAGACCCAGAACAGAATTTGTACCAAGAGAGTTAGCATTGTGCTAGCCACTAGCACCTCTCCTCCCTCCTATACTGTCTCAAATACCTCTGACCTTCAGGGAATCAGGAATTCACCTAGGATGCTCTTAGAAATGTGGTAGCTGAGGGAGAATAAACTTTAAGGAACAGAAAAAGTGCAGGTTCCAAGCTAAAGCAGCTCCCCCGATATCTGTCTAGAGCACAGTTTGCTTCTGGCTGGTTTTACTACTGTTGTCACAGAAATTCCAAAAAATGTGACAGAGGGGATGGCACAAAGACCTGCGATGACATCATGGTGAGACAAGGGAGTGGGGCAAGCTGATCACAATGCCAAATACGGGCCGTAGCAATGATGTCAGGCAAAAATATTATGATGCAGGGAGTGTTGGGTTGGTCACCAGGAGCTCTGGTGTATCCCCCTGGGTGAGGGCCCAGAGCACATGGCTCTGACTGGAAGTAGGTTGCTCCCCATTAACAAAGGAGGGTTGCACAAGGATTCTCATGAACGGAAGGAAGCGAAGCAAGCTTGCCCAAAGCAGCATCCCT